ACTCTCCCCCGTTTTCCGTAAGAGTTAAGGGATAATATAATATTGATCTTTATACTCTCCCTCGTTTTCCGTAAGAGTTAAGGGATAATATAATATTGATCTTTATACTCTCCCCCGTTTTCCGTAAGAGTTAAGGGGTAATATAAGATTGATCTTTATACTCTCCTCCGTTTTCCGTAAGAGTTAAGGGATAATATAATATTGATCTTTATACTCTCCCCCGTTTTCCGTAAGAGTTAAGGGGTAATATAATATTGATCTTTATACTCTCCCCCGTTTTCCGTAAGAGTTAAGGGGTAATAAAAGATTGATCTTTATACTCTCCCCCGTTTTCCGTAAGAGTTAAGGGGTAATAAAAGATTGATCTTTATACTGTCCCCCGTTTTCCGTAAGAGTTAAGGGGGTAATAAAAGATTGATCTTTATACTCTTCCTTGTTATTGTTCTTTAATATTATGTTTATGCATCCTCTTCTTCTTTTATAAAAACTGAAGGGTAGTTTAACTTAGATTTTTGAACAGTTCGTTAATTTCTTCTGCAAGAGTGAAGGAGAATATAATCTAGGTCTTTAGGTCATTCTCCCTTTTTTTCTGAAATAATTAAGAAGTAGTATACTCTAAATCTTGGTAGCCGTTTTCCTCTTTATTCTCAAGAGTTAAGAGGCAGGTAATCTACGTTTATGTACCTCCCCCCCGTCTTTCTTCTGTAAAAAGGTCATGTAACTTCGATTTTAATATCTTTCTCTTCTTAGCTTTTATAAAAATTAAAGGGGTAATAACTCCAGGTCTTTTCACTTATAAAATTTAAAAATGTATATAACCTGTCTTTGTGCTTTTCTCCCCATTTTTCTGAAACCTAAGTTTCTATATCCTCTTCGTCTTTCTATGTAGGCAAGTTTTTAGATACTCATCTTTCTTTAATGCTTACTTCATAAAACGTTTCCTTTCTAAATTTACGTAAACTTAGCTACTAATTATACGTATGTAGAACTATCTTCCTAAATGTCACCCTACTGATTTAACCAGAACAAATTACTTTCGAAAAACAAGGAAAGCATAAGGTAACTTGTTTTAAAAGTGAATTTCGCATTATGAGTGATTATATTTCAATATTATACCCATATAAACTTTCTATATTGTTTCATTATGCAATAATGGAATTGATGTTCAAGATGACAAAAAAGTTTATTAATGACAAATGTTCCCCAATGGTTTGAATTTGCCAAAATAACCTATCTCGTTCTAAAATTGACCATTAAGCTGACTTTTTAATTTATTATTGTTGTACGGACTCTGCCTGAACACAAGTCATAATCGAAGTTGTAGAAGAAGTTTTTCGAATTTATTTTTTTCCAAAGCGAGAAATTCTTGTCGAACTAGATGCTAAATCGTATCCTGCCATTGAAATAACGGTGTGGTAAATACACCTAATCACCTTAGACTTCTCATCAGCAGTTCTGGTTTTTAAAGTTGTTCAGATGAAAAGCTGTGTTCTAGAGTCAAACTTTTATAATAGTGAATTACTGATACAAGAGATACATAAAAATAACGTGCATTTCCAGTCTTCATATAGATTTACTGCATTTTTTGTGGGCAAAACCCTTAGTGTTTCAAATTCTAGATCTTTTACCAGATGTGGTATTAATATTGCAACCATACTCCAAACAATTGAAAATCCAGCTTTTAAAGGGGGTCTTTAATGGACTAAACTATTCTAGATTAATTTGTTTATTTTATGTTACTATTTAAATTCTAACTCCTAATTCAAGATGTGGTGTTAATGTTGAAACTACACTCCAGTTACTCCCTTTATTCTTATTATGTATAATATTAGAAATTTGTTATTAATTTCAACTTACCTTCAACTCCAAGAAATGCTTCAGGATGAATTGTTTTTATTCGGTTTCGTTCAAGATTTATTGAGTTCAACGCTAAAAGATGGGCAAATGCTTTCTGAGGAAGTTCATTTATGCGGTTTCCAGCTAGAATAATAGTGTCAAGATGTCCTCCCATTTCTCTGAACTGGTCAGGTATAATAGTATCGATCATGTTTTCGGAAAGTTTTAAGTTCTTGAGGCCTGGAACTTGTTTCAGTGGCTCAATGGGAATAGTAGTAAGTTGATTTCTTCCAAGGTTTAGCTGTTTAAGGTTGTTCCCCATGCTAGCGAAGGCCAGGCTGTCGATATGTGTGATTCTGTTGCCAAACAAAGACATTCTTTCAAGGGAGCGCAGTCCTCGAAACGCTTCTGAGTGAAGCAGTTCGATATTATTGTAATTCAAGGTCAGATGCACCAGGGTACCAAGGGCCTCGAGAGCTTTAGAGGGTATACGTTGGAAGGAGTTGTGGGAGAGATCCATCGTTTCAATGCTTCCAACTAGTGAAGAAAAAGCACCTTCGTCAATTGTGGAGGTATCCCCATAGTGAGAGTAAAAATGGCGCACTTTTAGCCCTTCTAGTAAAAAAGGTGGAATGCTGGTAAGACTGTTATTTTTCAGTATTAGATAAAACAGATTCTGATCGAAGTTTTCTAAAGCTTCCCTGAGTTGGTTGCTACTAGCCCCTTCACATGTCACTTCCACTCCTTGAGACTTTTGGATACAAACACACGGGCTAATTTTGCGTCTGTCAGGGCATTTATGAGATTCTCCAATAGCCCAGGTTGCTGTGATCACAAAAAAAATGTTCCAACTTAAAAGTTTGAATCTGGAAAACAGTCTGCTGCTCTTGATCATGTTGATTCTTTTCTTTTATTGCCAAAAGATTAGCTCTAAATGAAATGAGAAAAAGAAGCAACAAAGAAAAATTAAGAGATAATTATTTATCACTTTAACCAATCAAAACAAAGAAACTTAAAGAGCCAATATTGCATTTTTTACTTGAAATTATAAATATTCATACTTAAGATATTGAATTTTACAATACAACATGGTTGAATTTTCAATGGATAAAAATAGTGTCTTTTAGATAATTATTTTTAGTCTACTCTTGTCTAGACCATGCCCCCGCCACAATCAAAGTAGAATGAAGGAATGTAGAAAGTAAGGTATTTAAACGCTTGAATTCACAGAACAAGATTCATTTAGGGATTAGACACTTATTAAGACAAACATAAATGGGAACGTAATACATTGAATTAGTACCCGGGATAAATATTTCAATAGTTGATTTTCTAGAAATTCTTATTCATTTAAGTTTTATGGAAATGTACATTGATAAAGCCAGTTTTTAAAAGAGGGATATTTTTTCTTTTTTACTAAACTATTCTAAACCAATTTGTTTATTTTATGTTGTTTGATATTCTACTAACGGCTTTAACACCAGTATTTTACTTTTAGTTACAGTTAAGCTCAGATAGCTTTAACTGAAGTGTGAGCTTATGCACATGTTTATTTACAATATAATAGAGGTAAAGAGCATATTAGAATGATCGCAAAATAAAACGATATTAATTGTAAGTATCATACCTTTTATGTCTGCATAAATATTCAAATATTTACATTCTAGGCTGTCTGTTTCAAATATCAACCTTTATTACTTTCAAAATTATTCGTTAGACCACCTTACTTTGTTGTGCATAATATCAATCTGTGCACTGTGAGATTAAGAAAAATTATCTTCGATAACACTAAACAACGAAAAGAAGTAGATAAAAAAATTCTTCCTGCACTCTTACTAAATGAATTTATCTGGCAACGTTTCGGTCTTAGGCCTACTTCACGTAAAGAACAAAATACAACTGAGTATGGTGGAAAATCAGTTGTATTTTGTTCTTTGCCTGAAGTAGGCTTAAGGCCGTAACGTTGCAAAATAAAATAATTCAGTAACAGTGTAAAAGCATTTTTATCTTCATATCTTCATTGCTCATTTTTATTAATGAATTAATCTTTTGAAAGAGCACTATCTTTGATTGGGGAAAAAATGATCTTGTTCGTTTCCTCTGCTATAGAATTGATACAGTGGGTACGTTTGTTTGTTTAGAATTTTCACCCAAAGTTACTCAAGGGCTAACTGTGATAAAGCTGTATTTATTCTTGAACTGATAGATTAAAAGGAAGGCAGCTAGTCAACAGCAACCCTGGGGCTATCCTTGTCTCACATTAGAGTAGGTAGGATCCATCCAAAAACGCTTGAGCGAAAAAAAGATCAAAATTTTGACGTAGCTCAAACAGTAGGTGCTGTTGCAGTAAAATAAAACAACTGAGCAGTACTCGCACTGTACTATTTCATCAAGGTGTGTAAAACTAAATTTACATTTAGTTTGGGAGCCTGGCATGGCCTGGTAATTTAGGCACTCAAATCGCAATTTGAGGGTAACGGGTTCAAATCTCCGTCACCGAAAATGCTCATCTTTTCAGCTGTGGGGAGATTATAATGTTACGGTCAATCTTACTATTCGTTGGTAAAAGAGTAGCCCAAGAATTGTGAGTGGTAATTTAGGCACTCAACTCGCAATTTGAGGGTAACGGGTTAAAATCTCCGTCACCGAAAATGCTCACCTTTTCAGCTGTGGGGAGATTATAATGTTACGGTCAATCTTACTATTTGTTGGTAAAAGAGTAGCCCAAGAATTGTCAGTGGGTGGTCTATTCCTGCTAAATTAGGGACAGCTATCGCAGGTAGTATCCAAATTCAAAACAAGCCAAGCAAACATTCAGTTGGGTTTCTAATTCATTTCAGAATCATCACTGAGTTACACTAAACAAAGTGTAATGTGGCACAGTGATAATTTAAGAGCTAAGCTTATAAATTAATTTTGAGTTAAAGCAGAATTTTTTGTGAGTTTTTTCCTGCTCAACCCTTTTTGGGTGGATATCACTTATTTTTGTGTGCTGTCATCCCAAGACTGTGATAATTATTGTTTAACACAACCTTTAAATGGAAGCAATTCATACAGGGGAGTAATATGCAGATCAAGATGTTTCAGTAGGTTACATGGGATTGTTACCTTTAAAGATGACAACGTGTGAGAAAAAGCCGGAAGGAGCAGTTATACCCGATAACACTAGTTTTGAGCTGAGCTATGCAAGATGAACTCTTGGAATAAAAGTGACCAGAGGAAGGGGAGGAGGTTATTTTTATTAATTAATGGTCTTTCTAGTGTGGCATGCTTTCAATAATTAATATATATTTACAGCTAAGAAGAAATAGGTAACTGCCTCAATAAATAGACGCAGATTGAATTTATTGCTTCATACCGCTAGAGCTAGGATTGGGGTATACCGTCAAATTTAAGAGTTTGTTTGTTTTTTTAATTAAGCACAAAACTACACAATGGGCTATCTGTGCTCTACCCTCCATGGGTATCGAAACTCGGTCTCTAGCGATGTAAGTCCACAGGCACAAATTTAAGAGAAATAAAATGAGAATCCGCTGGCCGTGGTCGCTAGGTGCTCACGTTGCAAGGGATTAGTTCAGTATTAACTACTGAGTTTGGAGTTGGTTCTCTTAACGGCGAATAATAGAGGAATACAGATTACTTGAAAAGCCATTTTAAAGTAAATTATAGATTTTTGACAGTCAGACTTTACAAAAGTGTGCATACTGAACTTTATTTTCTACATTCATTCTTTATAGAATAAAAATACTTTTACCATGTTTTTTTATTGATGGACAAAGTTTCATGGTACAGAAAATTTAAAATTTTTCTGGTAAACTTTACGTGGTTCTAAAATTAAAGGTAGGCAAAGAACCTGTTTTAAAAACGAATAATATTCAGGAGAAGAGCAATAAGCATGAATATTTTATGTATAATGAACAGGCTACGTAAGCAGAAAAAAATACAGTAGATCTGTTTCTTCTTTTTATTTTTAAAAATTTTGGCTACAAAACTATCATTTATATAGTTCCCACTATTGTACGAAATTGCGAAGCCCATCTTCGTATCAGCGATTAATGTACCATGAACCTTCAGATTCACAGTCTAGGAACACTAACCAGTTGGCCACGACCGGTCTAGATAGGATGGGAAGTCAGTTCCTCTCTTTAAATTTTTGTTTTGTGGCTTTGACACGGCATATCCTGTAGACCGGTATTAAAATTGCCTGTTACATAGTACATAGTAATATTACACGGTAGACCATATAGATACAGTGTTAAAATATACTTTTATATAGAGAACGGCGTGTCTCGGTAAGAAAATCACACGGTAGACCCTGTAGACACAATGTTAAGATATACTGCTATGTATAAAACAGAGTGTTTGAATAACAAGACTACACGGTATCTCCTGGAGACACAATTTTGAAATTTATTATTATATATATGATGATATTCCATAATAAATTTATAAGGTGTACCTTGACAAACAAGTAATGAAATCGTCAATATGTATTTAATCATAGTATAGTAGGCTTTGTATAATTAAACAAGTTTTACAGGATTCTGCTAGATATTGGTAATACCCAATAATAAACTATTAATTCGCAAACTGATACCTTCAAACTTTTAAATGTTAAAATTGCTCTCGAATTTATTGAGATTATTACAGTCTTTTGAAATAAGCTATCTTTTTTTTTCTTTTTAATTTTTAACGATTTTAGTTTTCTAATACTATTTCGACTAGAAACTATCCATTTTGACGTACAAAGTCAGGGTCAAGAGAGAGACTTGAGTCGAAAAAATATTGCACGGAACTTTAATTTTCTATAGCTTGCATGGAAGTGACGATTCTCTTTATACAACTTACGGTTGTGAATATTAAAAATAGTCTTAATTCCCTTCTAATCCAATGAAAAAAATAAAATTAGAATATGTTTTTCTAACAAATTAATCCCAGCTTTACTGGATAAAAACTTATTTTAATGTATTGAATACAAAACAGGACTTACCTTGAATGTAACGAAAGCATCCGGCAGTACTTGAGCACTGTTTGAACGCTTCTTTGTTCTTTATGTATATGGATGTAGTCAGGGATAGCGTATAGATGCAGCGAGATCCAGCTCCTTTTGTATTTTATCAGATTGAAGCAGGTGATGTGATTAATCTACGGACAGTATGAGTCTTTACATGCTGTAATTATTACAGTTTAAGATATTAAACGCTGGTTTGTTTCTCCATCTTCACAATTTTCTTCATAAAGAGAGAGAGAGAAGAGGCAGTGCAGTGATGAACGACGCCTGGTGGGATAATATAGCGAACCCTACAGAACTGAAGCCCGGTCCTAGCTTTTAGTGATGCGCAAAGGGTGGACGCGAACTGGTGAATCATTTGTCATTGGCTGAGCTCTAGCAGCCAGCAATGTAAACTAATATAAATCATTACGGTATCTCGGTTAACTCTTCCCGTGCATACAATAGAACGACAGTGAAAAACCAATAAATTCAACATAACTTTCATGGAAATTATAAAAATAATGTAATTTTATTTTTCTGCTAGAAGATTTGTTATAATATATCAATGAAGTGAAAAAAGAAGTTAATTTTTCAAATATTAACCACGAAACATTTAAGAAATAATATTTTTCTAATTTGAAACTTATATTTGTTAATGGTATTTATAAGTAAGGATATGTGTAGTTACTACAAAGGATTTTTCGTTTGTTTGTTTATTTTAGCGTAAAGCTGTATGATAGGCTATTTGTCTTCTGTCCACCTCAGGGAATCGAACCACAGTTTAAAGTGTTGTAAATCTTTAAACTTAACGTTGACCCACTGGGGGACTACTGCAAAGAAAAATAATAAAACCATTATTATGTAATTTGCACTTGGTCCTGAATTTTTTTTATCAACATAAATAGATCGCCTATTTGAAAGAATAGACCTAAGATAAGGATAAAAAAAAACTTCATATTTGCTTAAATATCGGAAATAAAAAAGGTATAGTATATAACAAATATTTAATCCTCATTATTTTGTTTAGGAAAACCAATGTTACAAGGTGGTTACGAACTACACTACCGCCAGGTGATGAAAATTGGAAAGCTAGATGGCATCACTCTATAGACATAAAAAAAGTAAAAACATCTGTTTAATATCAACACCAAAATTAATATTGTTAAAAACGTCTATTTAAAATCAACATCAAAATTAATTTTATTAAAAACGTCTGTTTTAAATCAATACCAAAATTAAAGTTGTTTACAAAATTAAATTGTACAATATAATGTCTTCTTTTAACATTATTGATTTTTAAGTTTGACTGAGGTAAAACAACCTTTTATGTTAATCATGCTGTAATGCATCAAAGGTGGATTTAATCAACTGAAGACCATTTATCAATCAATAACATGTTGTAGTTTGGTCAGCTTAGTCCAAGTAATTACTTCGTTTTTAATAGAGTTTAGTAAAATCATAACGATTTCAGTTATGCAAAATTCATATGCTATGTTTCAAATAAGTCAGTATTTTTAGACGCGTCTATACCTTGCATTGCACGTTTACTCTACATTGCCAGATTCTTTTACCATACGGCACGACAATTACCCTGTATTTTGCAAACCTGCGTTATGGTATCTTTCATATAATGCGAAATTGGAACGTTCAATACAGCAGAGCAGCAGCAGCGCGATCATTTAAAGACTTACAGAGCTCTACTTTTCGTAAGGATTTAATTGTATTTTGCTAAGTTAAGGGATTAATTTTGAGTGATGTATTAGAGAAAATACGTACATGCGTAAATTAAACTGGTATTGCTCGTAACGTGGCAGTTCAGGCCAGAGACTATGACGATATAGTAGGCGATTTGGATCAATAAAACGAGTTAGACCAGGGTTTCAAACATCATCAGGATGTGGCCATGGTTATGACACTTCCTGACTGTTACTTGCCTCATAAATTGATCAACGTAGAAATGTTATTTAAACTGTGCGTGAGTGGGATTCATCGCGACAAATTACCGCGACAAAGTACGTGCACTGTCAAAAAAAAAAAAAAAAAATGGCATGAATAGTTTGATACAATTCACCGTGTGCTCTCTGAAGCCATATATCTTGTGAACCTTTTTATATAAGTTCACTCAGTTGATTATAATAAAGTATTCGAAGTTTCTGGTGTATGTAAGGAATTTGATTAAATGAAACTCAAAATTTTTAACACGTAGCTGCTAGATGTAGAGAGTATTCTGTTTCTGTAGAGTACGAGCACGGCACACAAAGTAATACTGATGTACATAATTGGAATTTAAGTATGCGTACTAGATATTGCGTGGGGGAAGTATTAGAGTGTAAATATATGGCCCAAGTATATCTTTCGAAAGTATGATCTACTTTGTGTACGTTATCTATCCTGACTCAAGATATGTTCACTGTTGTTTCTATCATCTATGCTAATTAAGGCGTGTTCATATTCTACTTATCAAGCATACTGTTTCGAGGTATGTTCGTGTTGAATCTATCAAGTGCACGGTTTCCAGGTATGTTTATTGTTCTATCTATCAAGTATACTGCCTCGGGGTATGCTCACTGTTGTACATATCAAGTATATTGTCTAGTCCAGAGGTAAGTTTATTGTTTTACGTATCAGGTGTACTGTCTCGAGATTTATTCACTGTTGTATCTTTGAAGTATACTGTCTTGAGGTATGTTTCTTGTTCTATCTATCTATCTATCCAGTATATTGTCTCGTGGTATGTTTATTGTTGTACGTATAAGGTGTATTATCTCGTGGTATGCTCACTGTTGTATCTATCAAGTATATTATCTTGAACTATGCTCACTGTTTTACCTGTCAAGTAGACTGTCTCGAGGTACGCTCACTGTTGTATCTATCAGTTATACCACGTCGATGTGTGTTCACTGTCGTACCTACTTAATTATACAGTATTATCACTTTTGTGTTTATCAAGTACACTGCCTCGGTGTATGATTATTGTTATGTCTATGAAATATACTATCTTGAGACATGTTCTTGTTCTATTTTAAAAGCATAGTGTATCGAGGTTTGCTCATTGTTTTATCTATCAGTTACGTTTTTTCTAGATATGGTCAAGAAGTGATCATTTTTGTAGATATCAAGTTAAAGCAGTCTTTCGTCATATTCCGAAACACGATAGTAGCGGAAATGACACCCAATAACCCGAGTCCACTTTCTAAAAGCACTTGAGCTATTGCGTTTCTTTTGAAGTAAAGAATTTTCGTTATTTTGTTGTTGGATGTTAATATCACTGTTTGAAGCAGACTAACATACACAAAACAGTAAAAATAATCGTTTTCAGTGACGTCCCGTGTGTAATATTGAAAATAAGTATATGATAAACGAAGTCTCTTCGTGAAAGGGGTCCAAGTTTTCCGTTTAACAACTTTTGAAATCGTCCTAGGCCAAATGCTTATATGCGGTAATTCTAATTAGTCACGAGATATACGATTATACTAAAATATAGCAAAGTGATTCTTGTATAATGTTTTTCACCTTTAACTTTGTACTTAAGTTATTATGGGAACCAGAAATATGTCAATGGTTATGCTTAATAACTAAGTAAACTAATGATCACGTTATTATATTATAATTTTTAGTAATAATCATCTTTGGAGCACGATTTTCAGATTTCTCTGAAGATGGAATAAGTTATTCCAAAACGTTCGAACATTGTTAATAAAAGGTTTTATGTTTTATCAACTGTCTTTGTCTTCATTATTAAATTTGAAGGACACGATCATAATAAATGAAACTGTCTCTTCTCATATCAAATATTTGTACAGAAGAAGAAATTTGTTCTTTTCTATTGGATGTTCGCACAACGCGACACAAACGCTGTCTGCGCTAGACACCTTTAATTTTGAACTGATAAACTTGAGGGAAGGAGCTAGTCTTATAACTTACCCATGACCCAAAAGTGCAGAGTGTAATTTTGGGGTAACAGGACGCAAACCATGGATTCACAATTCGGCATGTTAACTGCTTGATCATACCCGGCCTATTTATTCAAAGAAAATTTTGAAATGTTATTAAGTAAAATTTCTTATTTGTGTGGATTTTATAGCAATACATCCCTTTAGTTTATGCTCCCAGTAGCTCAGCAGTATGTCTGTGGGCTAATGACGCTAAAAAATCGGGTTTCAATACTTGTGTTTCAATAGCTTTGTGCTTAATTACAAATGAACAAACCTTGGTTAATGTGGGAAAAAGTCTAATATCAAATTCATTGAAAAACAAATGAGACAAATGAAGGGTGAACAGTTACAATATTCCTGAGTGATGTACAAACATTAATTAAGAGAGTTTTGTGACAGCCCACGTGTTTTCAACTTCACACTAGCTTACTGCTTATGCATACGGTCAGTACTGTGGTCTCAGGGGATACTAGGAGGAAATCATATGGCCATAAAAGTATGGTAGAATTTTGAAATTTTGATAACATAAATACAACCAGATTACTTGAAATACATAAAATACAATTTATATGAAACAATAAAGGTTATGCGAGTAAAAGTAAAGCAAATACTGAAGACTATGTACAGCAAACTTATCATTAGAAATTATGAATCAATACGTGTTGAAAGTTACAGGTATCTAACTAAACAGACATATACAAGCTGGAAGGTAGTGCATAAATATGCAAAAAGAACACACTTTACATAGCAGGTTAGAAAATTGCTACCCTAATACTCAAGGAAAAAGAGAAAGGAAATCTAAAATAACATTTTAAGTTTACCATCAGTGATGGAAAACGGGTGATAAATTTGGCTGCCAAAGTTTAATAAAGCACCTGTGTTCTAAGCATTTCCACTCTGTCTCTAGTCTCAAACGAAGATGATAATAGATTCAATCCAAAATAGTTATAAAATCATCAGTGGATATTTCAAAGACATATATATTAGAGGTTAAACAAATAAAGTGTTTCAGAGAAATCAAACAATACATAAATGAAAACTCTTAGGTACAGAGATAGATTCGGGGTAAAACAATATGGTTATGCGAAATGAAAGAAAGCAGAAACAAGTGAGACAAAAATCAATCACCCTGCTTGTACTGAAAGAGAACAGTGTACAAAAAGATATATAATAGAGTGATTCATGACTGATGGGGCAAGATTCAATGGCACCGATCTGCCTGAGATACAAGTACCTGTGCTCTGGTAACACATTTTGAACAATATACTAATACAAAGCCTGCAAGTCATGTTCTACCCCACTTAAAGTAACTAAACCTCAACACTGCCCGATTAAAGATGTTGTATCTTCTGCTCAACTCTATGTGGCTGATTTGGTACCAACAACTGGTACAGAGATTGTAAAATAGCTGATGTAATGTTAAATTCGTAGTTATCCTTTGAACAATGTCTAATTATTTGGATGCTTTAAGCATACCAATAGGGAGGATCTGAGCATGTAAGAATCTTTATGGAAAGTGTACCATAGATATAGAGACCCAAATCCAAGAACTAGTGAACTACGAAGTGAGAGGGGTGATTATCCTGAGTCAAGCATTTCACCGTGAGAGCTATAGTAAAAGCTGTACATTCGTTCTTAATTCATAGTGCCCCAAGATCCCTTTAGACTGGGCAGTGCAAAGACAGCCAGAAGACTATTTCTGTCTTTCCCTTTCACAAAAGAAAAATAAGCATATTCACAACTAATGCAGCTTCAGAGACAAAACAGTCTCAGTAGACAACATAAGAGGTGGGATATTTTACATATAACATTCTTTCAGATAAGGTACTCGAGGAGCGGTACTGGTAATCCTTAATAGTAGTTTGAATATTTTCAATGATAAATTCCTAATTAACATTAGTACACTAGAAAGAATCAGTCCCGAAACATTTAAATGCATTGGCTATCAAGCACAATCTAAAATGAGACTCCTGAGCAGACTTACATCGCTTCAAATACTTTTGCTAGTCTTTTCAAGATTTAATTTTGCTCCATTTGGATTGTGAATATGCGCATTTAAGCTACAATTCCAGTTTACGTTCAAGATGAAAGGAGGCTGTGACCATTTTACTTACAAACATGGGGCCACTATGATATTATGCACTGATTTTTTTCTTTAAAATAATGTGTGCAGTTATTCTGTTTTAGTTGGATTATTTTTTGCGAATCAAGAACTATATAAAACGTACATCTTATGTATTATCTAGTATAGTCTTATTTAATTTTGGGAAGTTAAGGGGTAGAGTTCAAGGCGCAGTTTAAAGGAAAATGGCACGAAGTATTGGTTGGTAAAGTAGTCTACCAATATGTGAAGGCATGAAAACAATATGAAAAACTTCAAAGTATATCACTGGAGAGGAAATGACATTCACCTATTTTCAACATTAAGCCCTTATTTGATTTCCTCTCCTCCACGTTCACCCCCATGCAATATGAATTCGATTTTCTCTTACAAAAAAGAGGTTTGCCCCCTAATCTGGCAACTCTGATGAAATCATAATCTTTTTTTTCACTTCCTGGCCTGACCGCTGATTCCATATCACATGGCTATAACATATTAATATTTGTTGTACATAATCATACACGAATCCAGTAATCATACATCAGAGTAAGGGAAGATCTCGTATCGATTTCTTGATAAAATAACCACCCAGTGGCTCAGCGGTAAGTCTTACGGCTTACAACGCTAAAATGTGAATTTCAATACCCGCGATGGGCAGAGCACAGATAGCACATTGTGCAGTTTTGTGCTTAATAACTAGCAAAATAAACCTAACAAAATAACGATTAAAAACCATAGTTTAGAATAAATAGAATTCATTATCCTACAATATATATATATATATATATTTGGACGTCATCATATTTCCTTTTTTTTCCTGTTTATCACTTCATTTATTTAATATTCTCTTAAAAAATTATCAATGTTAAGTTTTATTTGTTTTCACTAAGCTACCTATGTTTAGAATAAATCAGGTTAGGATTACTTTCACTATGGCGGCGGTTTTACAGGATCACGAGGAAATAATTGAAAAACAAAACGGAAAAAATAATGACGAAATTGAGGAACCTGATGAACTTGTACAGGATGAAATTCCTAGTGATGTTGTTGCTAAAAAGAAGAAAAATAAAAAAAGAAGAAGAAAATACAGGTTTCTACTCTAGGGTCTAACCCCGGTCTGACTTTTTTTTTTCACGTTTAGGTTTACGAAGTTTAGTGCTAATAATAACAGTGTATTTAATTTATGTAGGTTAAATTTTAGGCTTATGTTGCGATACGTTAGTAAATAGCTTACAAGTTTCAAACAGGCTTGTTATTTGTAAATATGAATTCTGTGTTAATAGTAGTTCTAGAGAATAGAACTAGAGTAGAAGACGTGTACGTTTAAATAGCATTTAAATTTTTATGACTTAACATTTTTGAGACAACGACTTAAGTCTAAGACGTTAAGTTACACTTCAAAGTTCCACCCCAGTAATCATCCTTGTAATTGTAAATTGTAGTTTTGTGCTACTACACGTACTAGTAGTAGCCCTCCTTTGA